TGGGGCACGGTTGAGAGACTATAGTAAAATGTATTGTTTGGCTGCGCCTAGCTGGGGTTTGTTTCTTCCTGTGCATTTAACTTTCATTATTTATCACCCTTGAGTTCTTGTATAATAAACAATGAAAAAGTATAAGCTACAAAGACGAAACAAAATCACATTTGAATAAAAAGAATGTGAGTCTTTTTACTTTCCCAATACATTGTAAAATCAATGGTAGTCAACTGGCATTACCTCTTACACTTCCGTTTGGAGATGTTAGTATTGCTACTTTTTTCCTTTTCCTGGAGCTATTGTAGACAGGCGTTGGGTCAACCAGCTCCAACTTTGGTTTGTTTGACCTCTTGGGAGAACTTGGTGGGGCTCACCTCCGTGACTCATCAGGATACACGTCTTGTCCGTCACTGAAGAGTCCTCGATTTTTCTGCTGGGTTGGATGGATGCCGGGTCAGAAAGGTTCATATAATTCTGAAAGTTATTGGTGTCACAGAGACTTCACATGGTGTGATTGGAGTTTGAGCCTGATGATTACGTTTTATGGACGTACCGGGCTGATACATAGGTTGGGGAGTCTTTCACCCACCCCTAACCCTAACCCTAACCTCTAATGCCCGGTAAATTTTCGATACTTCCAATGCCTGTTCATTAGTCGATACTTCCAGGACCAATCATTATTCGATACGACCCTTACCGGTTTAGTACATCACTGGGTCTCATTCTTCGATACCTACTCGCAGTCTATCCGGTATCTCTCGATATCGTTGATAAATCCACGCTTGGACTATAGTCGATACCTTCCTTCCTGGCATTATTTGATACCTACCTGTCATTAGTACATACCTGTCTTACCTTGTGATTATTCGATGTCTTGCCAGATCATTATTTGATACAATCATATCTGTTATTGCTCGATATCTTTTAAAGTTCCTTATAGCTCATTATGCGATACCTCCTTTCATGCCATTTACCAATACCATCTTTGTCTGGTCAGTTTTCGATACCACATTGTCTTAGTCATTCGGTCTAACTTCCTATCGTTATTTGACACCTTCTTTGCCTGATCTTAATCAATATCCAACCGGTCATTATTCGATATTCCCTCAGGTTTGGCATTATCCGATTTCCCTTCATCCGGTCTTTATTTGTTAATCCTCGACATCTCCTTAAATAACTAAACGATGCCAATTGGAAACTTTCAATAATATCATAGCTCTCACCGTATGCGTGCTTACTATTTTACAAGTATTCAGCATCAGAAAAATTCCAGGTATATTATTATAATCAACAAGTCACAATCTTTGGCTGTTATCATTCAATACTGACTGTGAACTTTTTACGTCTATTTATTCGATTTTTTGGTGATCGTTTTTTGTTCAGGGATACTTTTAAATTATCATTATCACCCAATTGAATGGACTTGCAGAAAACCGCCATAGCGGCGAACACAAGACATGAAGTGAAGAGAAGAGACAAGTGACAAGGGACCACCTAACATGTCATATTCATCGATCAAGTATCTTGATTCGTTTATATAATCGGTGCACTAATAATTATATTACATTATGGTTTTGCTTAGAATATTTTTCTATCGGTCATTTTGTTCATTTCGAAAAATGTGCTTTCTAAGGGCTTACTAAGGTTTGAAACATCAACTAATATTTCGACATTTAAAAGTTTTGCTCGATTTGTCTTTCACTTATTAAAGCGGCTCTTCTGTTTTTCTGTTTACTGTTGTTTAACAAGACTTTTAAAGGCAATTGTTTCCCTTACTCGAGTAGGCTACTTATTTCGGGTTGCTGTTACCTACTTCATAAAAGAGGACTCCTCTAGTATTGTGACTGAGTGTTCTACCTTCAAAATCAACTGTGTTTTGTCTCTTATATGTCTTTAACGTTTTGCTTGTGAGGTGATGTTCCGTTATTAAAAAAACCCAAAACTTTTAGACCAAACAAACGATCGTTTAATGAGACTCGTGGAGCAATGGCTGGAGATGAAGGGAAATGACTGAGGAAATGGCTTTTGAGAGAATACTTTACAAAGATTTATGGAACCTGGAGCCTTTACCCAAGTACAAGTACTCCATTTATTATTACGAGCTATGTGATTTGGATTTTTTTTAAAGGACTTTTTCCACCAGCTGAGACGAAAATTAACTTCTAAAGTACGACTATTTTTTAACAGCTTGGCACTGACAAAAAGATGTTCATTTCCTCCATTATTGAAAATGTAAAAACCAACCCATAAATAGACATTAGTGATTTGGAGTCCGATTAGAAAAGGACTTTTTCTGCAGCTGAGACAAAAATTAGGTCCTAGAATACGATTGTGCTTTGCTACAGCTTGGCACAGACAAAAAAATACATATATACATTAAACCCATTACTGAAAGTGTAAAGAACGACCAAACTGTCTACAGCTGTAAAGACGAATATGCTTTTCTGGATGAAAGTTAATTGTTGTTTACAATGGCTTGGCACTGACAAAAAAGTATAGAAAAAAATAATAGATTACCACCATTACTGAAAGGGTAACGACCGTCCCAAAATTTCACATAAGTGATTAAATTTTTTGGTGAAAAAGATATTTTTCAGCATTTACGACTAAAATTAATTTCTAGAATAAGCTTATTTGAGGTTTGCAATAGCTTAGCATTGACGAAAAAATGTACTATATAATCATTACTGATAGTGTAACGACCGACCCAAAAATTGACCTAAGTGATTACGATTTTAAATGATCGGTTCCAGCTTTTAAAAAGAAAGTTGCTGTCTACTGCAGCGTGGAAAAGACGAAAAATTGTATATTATTATATTCATTTCTGAAAGTGTAATCACCAACCCAAAAATAGGCATAAGTTATTTGGATTTAAAAAAGGACTTTGCTACATACTTTTGTCCTGGACGTACGACCCTATGTGCCAAACCCCCCGCGCTGCTTTCAGTGTCAGAAGTTTGGCCATAGCCAGTCGCGATGCCGATGTGCAGCCGTGTGTCCTCACTGTGGCAAGAATGGGCATCCTGAGAAGGAATGCAAGGCTAGTCCTTGCTGCTCAAATGTCTAAGGCCAGCACACAGCCTTCAGCAAGGATTGCCCGACTTGGTGGATCCAAGAACGCGTAATCCAAGAGTGCAAAGTGCAAAATAATGGCTGCTCTTTTCAAGAAGCCCGCAAAGCAGTCTTCCCGCCAATCGCGACCCCCGGTCCCTGGCCGGTCATATGGGAAGGCCACCCGGCCAGTCATGAAGTGTTCCAGCCTGTCCCCGCGGTTTTATGCAAAAACAATTCTGAAATTCTGCAAACTGAGCAAAAAATGTGAAATTATGTGATTGTTATTTTTAACAAAGAATGATAAAGGAAAATAATTAGAAATTATGCAAAAAAACGATCAAATTTTGCTAAATTATGCGGGTGCATAAAACCACGGGGACAGTCCAGCACCTCTACTGCCGACACCTCTACTGCCAACTTCCCAGTGCCCGCGGTCAACAGGAGACTTTGTGCACACAAGAAAAAGGCCCCTACTACCTCCGTGGTACTTACCTTTGAGGTGGCACAGGCCAGTTATGTTATAGAAGCTGAGAGCTGCAAACGTTCTTTGTATTATTGTACAGCGCATCGAGTACTTCTTTGTGGAAATGCGCTATAATATAAATGCAATTTATTACTATTATTTTATGTAGTATTATTATTATTATTATAACCGCATCGCGGTCCTGGGGGAGGACTCTTCATCCGCCCCCTCTTCTTCCCTTCCCCCCCCTCTTCTATCCCTTTCTCCTCCTCACGCCCCATCCCTCTGATGGAGTGCGAGGTGTCCCTCCCCATCCTCTCTCGGACTCCGACCTTCCATTGCAGAACTGCAACACTTACAACTTACAGGCCACACTGAGCCCACTTGTGGCCTGTATCCAGGAGACAAAGTTCGCATCGGCTTCAACCATAGACTTAAGAGGATTCGCTGCGTATCATCACATTCACACGGAGAACCAGATTGCATCCGGTGGTACCACCATCTACACCGAGAACCACACACTTCACAGACAAGTACATCTTAGGACGACCCTCCTGACTATTTCTGTGCGATAACCCTGCACAGACCAATCATGATCTGCTCCGTTTGTATTTTTATATCCCACCAAGTTTTAGTAATATTAGTTTTAATAAGAGTTTTACGGCACTTGCAACACAATAAGGTCATATAGTTTATAGGTGCCGAAGATTAGAGGTGTTACAAGAGAGTAACAAACACAAAAAAGAAGGAGGGGAGATGAAGACGATAGACGTTTGACTCTGACAGGAAAGAAGAAACAAACCACACCAGAGCACCCGCCAACCACCCACATATCCCACCAAATTACCCGCCTCAACGTAACTCAACAAAATGATTTCAATTTAAAGCTCCAGCTCCCAAAACCCTTCACTCTGTTAGGTGATTTTAATGCCCACAGACACACACACTCCCCTCACCGAGTTCATCAACTCACTCCCCTCACTGAGTTCATCAACTCACTCCCCTCACTGAGTTCATCAACACACTCCCCTCACTGAGTTCATCAACACACTCCCCTCAATTACCTTAACATAACACACTCCCCTCAATCTGTCCCCATCATTTTAAGCAAGAAAAATTCTGAAATTATGCAAACTGAGTCCAAAAATGTGAAATTATGCGATTCTGTTAATTTTAACAAAGAATGATAAAGTAAGGAAAATTATCAGAAATTAGACCAAAAATGATCAAATTTTGCTAAATTATGCGGGGTGCATAAAACCACAGAGAGAGCTCAACACACTCCCCTCATAGCACAACACACTCCCCTCATAGCACAACACACTGAGCTCAACACACTCCCCTCAACACACTTCCTTCAGTGAGTTCAACACACTCTGCCTTACCCGACTCGTCTCTCAGCCTCTGTTTAAGTTTAAGTTCACTTTGCTCTTTCTCAAAATCAAAATAATCGAAACAATGACAATAAAACTTGTTCAACTCATTTGCATTTAAATTCTCTTTCATTTTCATTTGTTTTATTTGCACTTTCTCTCACTGCAGAAATAATGATAACTATACAACAATAATAATAATAATTAATATTATTATTATGATAATAATAATTATAATTCATAAAAATGGTGATCAGGTGATCATACATAACAATTAAGATGGAAATAATAATAGCAATAGTAAAAACATTAATAATAACAACTTACTTCATCACTCCCTCCCTCACTCATTTATCCACTCAACTACTCTCACTCACTCACTCACTCACTCCCTCATTTATCCGCTCAACTCAGCTACACTCACCGACTCATTCACTCCATCACTCACTCACTCCCTCATTTATCCATTCCACAACACTCATCGACTCACTCACTCTCTCACTCTGTCTCTCATCCTCTCAACTACCCTCACCGATTCATTCACTCACTCACTCCCTCATTTATCTGCTCAACTCAGCTACACTCACCGACTCATTCACTCACTCACTCCGTCGCTCATCCTCTCAACTACCCTCACCGATTCACTCACTCACTCCATTTATCCACTCCATTACATTCCCTCCCTCCGGTAACCCAAAATTCCCCTACTACAAGGATCAATAAAGTGTAATTTATCTATCTATTTATCCTGGTTGTCCATCCATCTGTCAATCCTTGTTGTGTTCATCCACCAGTCGCCCATCTGTCAATCCTTGTTGTGTTCATCCACCAGTCATCCATCTGTCAATCATCGTTGTGTTCATCAGTCTGTCAATCTTTGTTGCGTTCATCCATCATTCTGCGTATGGTCCATCTGTCAATCCTTGTTGTGTTCCATCAGTCGCGTATCTCTCAATCCTAGTACGGTTCACCCACCAGTCGTCCATCTGTGTATCCTTGTTGCGTGCGTCCAACCGTCCGCATATGGTCCTTCTGTCAATCCTTGTCGCGTTCATCCACCGGTCGCCCATCTCTCAATCCTTGTTGTGTGCGCCCACCAGACCGCGTATGGTCAGGTCGTAGACGACCTCCTCACATTTCTTCACGTCGTACTTGAGGCCGTCAAAGCGTTTCCGCAGCGCGTCGTTCTTGAGGTTCAGGACGCGGAACCCAGCGTCCAGCTGACTCACGAACCGTGAGATCTGGACGGGACGCTCGTAGTCACCAGAGGTCACCGCATTCACTGCTAGTCGAGACTGGAAGGGGAGGGGAGGGAAGAGAGGGTGGAGGGAGAGGGGAGGGGGGGGGGGGGGGGCAGTGATATCAGACAAGAATTAGACAAGGAAATACAGTAAAGTTTGAAAAGGTGGGAGTGGGGTATATCAGACAAACATAAGACAGTCATTTAGTGCTAGGAATAGGTACAGTGCAGCCTCTCTATAATGAAATCGTCAAGTCCAGAAGAAAAATGTCGTTATAGAGAGTTGTTGTTATAAAGAAGCTACCAAAAATATTACTAATGATATACAAAGGAAAAAATCGGGACCTTGGAAGAATGTCGCTATACAGAAGATGTCGTTATATCGAAGGCCGGTATAGAGAGGCCACACAATCGTACGACAGGCACACAGAAACAAAAGAGGTTGAGAAAAAAAAGTAGGACCCATCACCAGCGGCACATCACTCTCGATGAAACAATCATTAGGCCTGTACTCTAATTTTCTTCCATTTTCGTGCTCAATTGTCGAATGTCACAACCTCACTTATTTTTCTATTTTAGCATCAGTTTCTTGCAACACGGTCTTATCCTGCTGCCGTAGAATCCTCACACACAGACAATCACTCTACAACTTTACAGATTTGAAAAAAGTTTCTTTCTGACACTGATTTTCTTTCTAACTACAATCAAAATTCAGTTTTCTTGATCAACCCACAGTTTTTCAGCCTCACCAAAGATCCAAAGACAGACAGAGAGAATGAATGAATGAAAGAAAGAAGATCAGCTATTGTGACTAGCCAGATTTCCAGCAATTTGCATGTAACAATACACAGCCGATGTACTTGCAACGGATACAAAGGGGGACAAATGGTTGAGTGTATGAAATGTGCAATCTGGCAGCTTGCTATCACAATTTATTGCCCAGAGTCATCGTAAATATTCAAGAAGTTATTACGGAGGCAAGTGCGAATTCTTGGCTACGGAAATAGGCCTACTGATAAGCCAATTTTTTTTTTCAGTTTCTAAATTATTTTTAAAAACAGATGGAGTAAGTAGTGTAAACACGGCCTTGCGGGCACTCACGGCCTTCCGACCGCATGGTATCGGTGAAATCGGGGTAATTCCGATCGCTGTTTCTTTGCTCTTTCGCTATAAAACACCAAATGCCGTACACCTTGTAAAAGTTCAGCTTTTCCTCGTTACAATGGTGTAAGTTGTTTATATGTCCGATTATTAGGAGTTGGAGAATCGCCGACGAAAGCGAAGCCCCTCGCGGTCGGAATGCGTGGTCGGCCGGTTCAAAATCTGACACGCGTGCAGTCTAGTGCTTTCCAGAGCGAGCGATGATTAAATACCATCTTTTCATTGGCGGAGAACTGTAGAGCTTTAAATGGGCTTTCCCGTGACATAAATTTGGCCTTTAGCGTTTAAATAGAAAGCTTTTAAAAATGCTGTCAAAATGTTTAAAGATCACTTTTTATACAAAATATGTAAAATGCCGGCTTAAAAAATGTATTAATAAAAAGATCAGTTTATTTGCTATTAGAATAATGTAATCAGCTTGGAATTATTTTACATCAATCCTTCCGAAAGACTATGAAAGCATGTGACCCCGCACGCGGGGTACACTACAGTATAAGCCGACTCGCTCGCCGCGGGGGCCGGTGCGGCGTCGGCGGGGTCAACGTTCGGTGTTTTTGTCAAAATAACGACAGATCATCGTGTTAGAGGCGATAAAATACTGATTTGTAATGATCTCTCAGTCTTGAAAAAAATTAGGCTCCATATATTTGTTCTAGTGATTGTACTCTGTTATTGTGGAGATGTTTAGTGCACTTGGTACTCTTTTATTGTCTGTCAAACATGGGGTTGCAGCCAGTGACTGACTTTAACAAATTTTATCAAATTTTAAACAACTACAGTGGAAACCTGATATAACAGGGATAGTGGGAGTAGAGAAAATGTCCTGTTATATCCGATCCCTGTGAAATCAGAAATGCAAGGAAAGTAAGCATTTGTGGACTAATCCAGCTGTACTTATTCATGGGTAGTTTCCCTTGCCACAAGTACCCACGAACAGGGGTTTTGGCACCGACTTTCTCCATTGCCTCACATCTGAAGAGCTTGGTCCACAGCATCTGCATCGGGTAGTCTCATCTTCTTTCGATCCAGAGCAAACTTTCCATTGGAGTACGCTGCCACTATCTTCTCTCTATCCTTGATAATGGTGAGAATCGACCCTTGTGGAATGTCGAACCGACGACAAATCTCTGTCAGTGGAGCTTGCTTTTTGTCAACAGCCTGGATTAATTCGTATATTTTGTCTATTGAAAGGCATTTTCTTTTGCGCTTGACATCGTTGGTGACACATTACGCTTCACACGCTGCGTGTGCTTGCAGTTGCAGTGGTATGGTTTGCCTGGGCTTGCTCCATCACTGCATTTCTCTCTCTCTCTCTTACTTTTCACACATTGGTAACAAGCCTTTGTCCCTGCTATAACCGGTTGGGCTCCGATGAGGCCCTGTTATTGCCGATAACTTTTAATAGAGACAAAGAGTAGGAAAAAACGGGGATTTTAAAAACCCCTGTTATTACCGGATCACTGTTATTACCGGGCCTGATATATATGGTTTCCACAGTACCATTTTCTTTAAAATTGACTCTGAGGTTAAAGAATGGTACCAAAATGCTCAGTGGATATAGGCCTTTCAAATGGTAAAGATAAATATGGCATACAGCTACTTTGAAAATTTAGTTTCTGGTACCTACATGGAGTAGATGTGATGATGCGGCACGTTCAGAACTTTCGAGATGTACGGTCCGTAAACACACGAACGATTTGAAGCGGAACAAGCCATTTATTTCTTCCTCTACTCTCAGAGCCCATCACAAATTCAGTAGTTTAGACACCTTTATCAGTATGGCAGTAGAACATGTCCAAAATCTCTTAACTAGGCCTACCGGAAAAAATCAGTAGATTTAGGTAGCCGTGTACCAGTGGCAACTCCCCAATCTTTACAAACAAGTGTACCTACAAGTTCATTCATCATGCACTAACAAACAAGGGTACCTACAAGTTCATTCATCATCCACGTGTACAAACAAGTGTACCTACAAGTTCATTTATCATCCACGTGTACAAACAAAAGTACCCACAAGTTCATTCATCATGTCAATCCCCCAAATGTACAAACAAGTGTACCTACAAGTTCATTCATTATCCATGTACAAACAAGTGTACCTACAAGGTCATTCAACATCCACATACAAACAAGAGTACTTACAAGTTAATTCATCATGTCCACCCCTCCACCCCCCTTCAGTGTACAAATAAGTGTACCAACAAGTTCATTAGTGATGTTTGCCCTCCAACCC